AGTCAATGCTCCAGCCTGCCATGGGAAGAGGCAGCCACTACAATAGACCTTTGTTGAGCCCAGGATTCAAGCAAGCACTTTTGGAAAAATCTGTATTTAAGGTTTCTGTCCTACCACCCTGCACTTTCTCCTCAATTGCTGAAGAGAATATGTTTCCTGAGCATGAAACAATATCATTTTTGTGGGCAGTTTGGAAAGCGAGCGCGTGTATGAATCGAAGAAAAGCTCCCTTTCTGTGGCCTGTGCGGGGCTGGGTTTGGGGAAAGGGCTTTCTGTGTGAGTAATCTTTCAAAGTAGGAAGCAGAGCTCCCCCATTGCTCGGGAAGAATGGACCTCCAGTGGGCTAATATGTGATGGATGACTGAATGCAAACTTGGCAACGTTGCCCTCCGCTCCCCAAAGAATACAAAATGCCACTGCCTATTCGGGCACCAGGACTGTCCCATTGGAAGTGCTGAAAACTTGGCACCATCCCACCTTAGTTTAATTGAAACTGCAGACAATTAAGGATGGGAGCTCGGAGAAATTTCTTGCGACGAGATCAGCTCAAGATGGATTTGTCTTGGGTGATTGGCTCATGCATAAGCCAAACAAGAAAATTAATGGCGAGTTATTTCCCACTGACTCCAAAACCTGAGCAGCAAAATCTCACATGTGTTTAGGTGGGGTGTGTTAAGACGTGTAATTTATATTAATAAGTATTATTCAAATTCTACATCTGGATAAGCTCTCTGAAGCTATAGATGGAGGGTTTTTGGTGTTATTTGGTCAGCAAAAGGACAGGCAGCATATAGGAGAGAGGAACGATGCATTTAGAAATCCAGGAAAATCTTACATTAAGGACAATTCTAATTATAAGGGGCACATCTATCATTCATTCAACCCTATTTTAGCAGGAGGATCCCCATCTATTCCCTTTTTCAGTGCCCAGACACTTCCTGCAGGCTCCAGAGCCACCTCTTGTCAGGCAGGATCCCATGGACTCTTCCTCCCAGTCTGCCCATTGCACACCGTGGGGTTACATCATGCACTCAGGGATTTCAGAGGCTGGAACAATGCCCAGTCTCTAATTTTTCACACATGTGGAAGGCTTTTAACTCCACCTCTGGCTGGCCAGAGGGTCAGACACACGAGTGGACAGCGAGCACCGAGGGAGGGGAGGTTTCACACCTGCAGAAACCCTGAGTTGGTGGAAACTGCAACCACTCAAGATTGTCCCTCAGGGTTCTCCATTTCTCTGCTTTCCAGTCTCAAACAACTGCCTTCTTATTTCCTTTTTCTCTTTATTATACAAAAAAATTTTTTTTTGGTGAATAGCTGATAAGAGGAATTTCAAGTTCTCTGTGGCAGAGAACATAATTTATTAAACCTCCTCTCTCCTTCTAGTGGGGCTCTAAAATGCTGGAGCAATTATTACAACATCAACCAACCAAAGCCATGGACAACAAGTCCTCTTTAATATCAAGCAGTTTAATGAACTAAATTGCATCTTAAAAACTCATAAGCAATCTGTACACATTCCTTATTTTGAGCTCTTGACCTCAGGTTATATTGTTTCCTGTCCAGAACTCATTAGTTACTAATCCTATAATTGCTTGCAGTTTTGAAGATTTCTGAGCCTGGTAGATGACAAAATATTAACTTATTTCACTTAGATTGCTGTCTTCCTTAGTTTCCCATTTCAGCAACAATGATTTTTTCTGCAAAATGACATCAGCAGCTTCCTTAAAACCACTAAGGGCAGCTATTACATTTTACAGTAGTTTCAGATGTCTGCAGTTCACAACCACAGGGTTAGATCAGAGCTCAGTCTTTGAGCAGGGTGTGCTAAACTCACACCAGTAATGAAGTCTGAGAAAACACACATTGGTAAATCAGAACCCAGTTTCAAAGCCCTGTATCTCAAACTGACACAGTGCAAAACAAATTCCTTTTATTATTGGAAAGCTGAGATTTCGAACTTTCCAGGGGTGTAAATCATCCACTCCTAAGCCTGCAGTTTTATGAGCCACTAGACCTTAAAACTGTCAGTGGCCCTTCAGCTTAGCAGACTGTGATGGCACAAAGCCAAGGAGGAATTTATCAAGTCACAGGCTTCAAATGAGAGTAATTATTTAAGCACTCTGGATTTCTCATGGCACAGAGGTAGGACAGGTGAATGTGTAGCTGATAACCAAGCAACCTCTGCATTAATCTTCCTTCCAAAGGTAATATTCCTCCAGGGATACCAGGGCTCTCTAAGGGATATGGGACTGGATGGAAACTCTTTCTCCCTTACATCCACTAACGCCAGACACCCATTGTCCAACCCAGGACAATTAAATGCCATCAGAACCACTGAAACCTTTAGATAATTCTTACAAGGCTGAGTAGACAGAGGCACCGTGGTGTTGTACCAGGAAAACAGGACAGAAATGGCCAAGCTGGTTTTCCAAATGGTTTTGCCAGGAGGGATGAAAGGGTTAAAGCTCTGGCTCCAAAGCAGCATCACTGTTTCACAGACACTTCTGCTTTTTAGTTCTGCCTGACTCTTGAAAAGGATGAGAGTCCCAAAAGGCACAGACCCTGCCATTTAATCTCATTTTCTTATCAAAAAGTGAGACAATGCTCAAGAACAAACTTTGACAGTCTCTTTATAGCAAGCCAGAATGCCTTCACCCATGAATAATCTTTTTTTAGATATTTTATAAGAAGCACTAATATGAAAAAAAAAAGCTGAACGTCAAACTCCTTTAGAAATTATCTTAGAGCAACATGATAGTTAAGTTTGAGTGAATACTGAGGAGAAATGATTCAGTTTTAAAGAGCTGGGTTAATAAAAGAGGATGGCTTTCAAAAAGTCTCCGGCTAACAGTTACTCAGAGTTTGTGGAGCACATTTTAGCCTGTGTTTAGGGATTTTCCCAGTAAGTTCTAACACCATTAAGCATCACTATTTCAACAGAAGATTTGGGTTTGGTTTGTCTTTTCCATGTGCCCATGACCACTGTGTACCTGGAAGGGATTTCTTTAGCAGAATTTCTGCTTTCTCTCTAGATGAGACCTTCTGACATTCTCATCTTCAGGCTGGGGGCTTTGCAGCAGATCCTTTGGCTCTTCCCCAGCTCTGGAAACACTGATAAAGTAACTCTAGTGACAGGATTAGGGGCTGGGACTTGCAAAGAAATTTCTCTAGGCTGAAAGGAGCCAGAGGATAAAATTAATGAGCAAAAAATATTGGAAGTGAATGCCAGTTTGGTATTTGGGATAGTGACTATGACTGGGTCAGTGAGAGGAGGTACAGACCTTGTCACTCCTGCCCCATCACTCTGCTCAGTTCAGGTGCAAATCCTTCCCTGAGCACGGGGCAGCACCTGCACTGGGAACACCCTGACAGCTCTTCCAGCTGCTCCCCAAATTCCCTGCCAGGGAAGTTGAGCTGCAGACAGACCAGTTACCTCCTCTTGGCTAAACACTTTCATCTGGCCAAACTTTCTCAGATTCAATTTTCCCCTGCGTTCTCTGTATCAGTAAGAAAAAACCCAAAAGCCATCACATTTCTGCAAGTTCCCCAAAGGTTCAAAGGATGGTATTTAATCCTCATTTTCCACCTCATTTTTGGACTCCAGCACCCCTAAACTGGTCTAGAGGAAGGTGTCCCTGCCCATGGCTGGAGCTCAATGATCTCCAAGGTCCCATCCAACCCAAACCATTCCATGATTTCACAGCTTTAAAAGGCAAATGCACAAACCCAGCACAATAAAACAACCCTCACATGTCCCATTAATCAGAAAGTGTGTAAAATGAATTCCCAATATTTACTATGGTCTAAAAAAAATAAACCAGGAGAGAAAACCAAACCAAGAGCTGGATAGCAAGACTTTTACCCAGACCATAGAGTCGCATCCACCTCATTGTTTTCTGTTTTTTCATGAAGAAAAACTTTTATAAATGCTTTTATTCCGCTTTTTAATTTTATATTTCCACTGTGCAACACAACACATCATCATCATTTCAAACTGAATATTCCTTTCCACAGTATGAGACAGACTTCTCAGAAGTTTAGATTAACTGCCAAAAACTTCTCTGTCCTGGTAGCCAGACAGAAAATCAGGCAGGGAAAACTCTACAAAGGTGATGTAACACGAAATCTTGAGTGAGTGAGTTTAGCTCCTAAATTAATCTAGAGTGTGTTCACCTTCTCCCAGCCAGCTTCTCCTTTTTAAGCCAATTTGAGCCTCTCTGGTAAGTGCAGACACAGTCATGCAGAAAATCTCAGTGCACCAGGGAGCAAGGAGCTGAGACACAGAGCAAGTGCCTCTGTTTTACTATGAGGATGGAGAATTTCACCCTCCCGCTCCCAGAACGCACCCAGCAAAGCAGGGGTAATAAAATACCAGTTGAATCTTCCTTTGTGCCTTGCTCCCCACTGCAGGCTAATATTACCAAACCTTTAAAAGCAACTGGAGCCCAGTGGGGGTGGGGAGGAAGGTGACAAAGGCTTCGGTGCAAAACAAAAAAAAAAAAGTGTGGGGACAGCAAATGACCAGCGGGAAGGGCCCGGCTCTCATCAGGTCACAGACAGGAGCACATGAAGAGTTTCTTGGGAGGGTTAAAACCTGCAGTGGATTTAGTCTGGTTCGTGAGGTGAGGATGGGGGAAGCATCTCTAGCACTCCAGGAGCCAAGAGGAAATCCCAAATCCTCTTTCCTGCCCTGCCTGTCAATCCAGGCTCTGTCTGTGCTTGTGTGGATGCCCAGCAGCCAGCCAGCTCCTGCTCCATCCATTCATTGGGTCGGGTGGATGTCACCGAGACATTTCTGACATGACTGCACTGGACAATGCAGCCAGACCTCGGGGCAGGCATGCTCCAACCCAAAACCATTCCCTGGCAGCATCCCTGCCCATCCACCTGGCGCTCACAGCCACGAGGATGCGACTCGTGGTGATGCCGGAGCGCGGGGTCACTGCAAACTTCTGTGTGCGAGCACTTTTTAATTCAGAGCGGGCAAGCAGACTTACCTTAGAGACTCTGACAGAGCTTAGATCCTGCTGTGAGCAGCCTCCATGAAATAAATACGGTGGTCAAAGCCAGCTGGGCTCTCCTGACTTTGTTGCCGTCCTGTCAAAACTCGGCGAAGTTGCGTTGTCCGGTGCCGTGTGCGAGCGCAAGGCAGCGAGCTTTGACAGCAAGGCAAACTGGTCACAGCAGCCAGATTCTGCTGGGTTTATATAGCTGAGCTGCAAATCCTGATCCTTGGCTCGTTCCACTGTAATAGGATGCCTGAAGGCATTTTTTTTTTCAGTTTTGCTTTAAAGGAACAGCCTCTCTCTCCCTCTCTCTGGCGTGGCTTCTGAAAGGCGCACACACACACACACACTCACACACTCACACAGGCTGTCATCCACAGGCACACACACACACACAAAAAGAATTTGCATGCGATTTATGGCTAAAGAAGGAAACCCCCTGAACCATTCAAAAAGAAAGGCAGCTCAGGGCGAATGAGTCAGAAAGCAGAATATTTTCCCTACAGCATCAGCAGAGTGCATTATCAGGAGTTTTAATCCCCTCACCCCCATTATTTTAACGTTGTGAAATAGTAGCAAGCTTGCATGAAATCAGGGGAAATACAAGCAGGGTTTCAATTCTAGGGACTCCTACAGAAATTAATGGACTTAACGTTGGTGTAAATAGACCCCACTCCACGGGAATCGACTGCAAAATTTAGATTTACACAAGCAGAAGGTCTGGCATATTCCCATCTTTTCAAGCCTGTGATCTCTTTTGCATCCTTTTGCCCTCCTGCTCTGAAGAGCTGGAGGCAGAAACGTGGGGAATTCACGAGAAAAGTGAGCAGAGTAAAACAAAACACAAACCAAAAAAAAAAAATACCCAAACTAAAATAGGAGATATAAAAGCCCAAAGAGGACAACAGAGGAGGGATTCCCTTTCTTCTCAGATCAGATAAAAAGAGATTACGTGGCTGGCTGTGTGTACAGATAACCCAAGCACTTGTGTGAGGCTCAGGGCTTCCCTGCTTCCCCACTCTGAGCTATCCGTGACACACAGAGAGCTCAGCTGGGACCTTCCCAGGGCTCTTTGTTGTCTCCCAGTGCCCCCGAACCTGAGGCTTGTGGCAAAAAAGAGAAGATCACAGTTAAAGGATTCTCATTAGCACGGGTTTCCCTCTTCCTGACACTAAAATCCTGTACCCCAGCCCGCTCGGCTCTGGGTTTCTGTTTCCCTTGGGCTCTGTTGTTGGGGAGGTGGTGGCAGAGGAAGAAAGAGGAAGATTATTCTTGAACTTTCAGGTCTATCTTCCAGGAGAAAAGATGAAATCACTCTTCTGTTGGGTGGGTTAGAAAGCAAGACTTACCCAAACATCTCTAAGGGCCATGAAAACACAAACTCCTGGGATCCTCCTCAGGAGTGAAGATCCTCATAAGGATAAAAATGGATTTTTATCCTTATGAGCCTGGGAATTTCGGGTGGTATTCCTCTCTGAAAACATCTCCTCCCAGCTGGCCTTTCCCTGGCTCCATGGGCACATCAATGGATCTGTGTCAGACAGCTCAGGCTGGAGAGCAGGAAAGGTTCTTCCCCCAGAGGTGCTGGCACTGCCCAGGCTCCCCAGGGAATGGGCACGGCCCCGAGGCTGCCAGAGCTCCAGGAGCCTTTGGCCAGCGCTGCCAGGGATGCCCAGGGTGGGATTTTGGGGGGTCTGGGCAGGGACAGGGGCTGGGCTGGGTGATCCTTGGGGTCCCTTCCAGCTCAGGCTATTCTATGATTGTGCAGCTCAGGATTTTTTTTCCCTTTTTGCTCCTCCACAGCATTACCAATTCTACACATTTAGAAAAGGACGGGGGAATCCCTGACCCTGAAATTCTATTTTAGAAGACCATAAAATGCAGAGCTTTTTTGCAGAGCTTTTTTGCCCACTGAACTACTTAAGTTTTCCTTGCTGTGTCTTTTTGCACAACATTGGCCCCCCGTGTGCCTCCTCTTATGTCTGATTATATCACTGAGCTCACCCCAAGCTCTCCACACACAGCATAAATTTTAGTCTTTTCCAAACATCAACACCCATTTCCAATTTCTGCATTAATTTTGTGAAATTCTGTGTTTCATATCAGTCATGCCCTCAGAGAAGAAATGAGCCTGTGATGAGAAGAGAGTCATAAATATTACTTAATTCCTGCTAAAGGCTTTGAATCCTCCTTGAGCACCGATTTCTAAGAAGAACATCTTGTCTGAGCATCTCCACCTGTGGGAATCCAGGGCTTCCCTCTGGCTGCCCTGGCAGGGGTCAGGAACCCCCCTGGACAGAGCCCCAGAGACACTGGCTGTGATCTCTGTCCATGGAAAAGAGTTTTCAATCTTACAGGATGAATTACCAGCTCTGAGTGTTTGATATCAGTAATAATTAAGTGTGGCACGGGTGCAAAAGTAAAATTTTAGGATTCTAGATAAGGGGTTCAAAGGGGACAAGATGGAGGAAATTGGGTGTGTCTTGTCCTTTTTCTCCTTCTTCATGCCCTCCATGTTTCACTGTGGTGTTGGCATTTTTCTGTTGGTTCAGGCTGGGGACACACTGTCCAACGTAGGTGACAGATATTGGCACGTTATTGTAAATCCAGCACAGGTAGTTTGTGGCATTTAATGTTTGTACCATCCCACTGAGGGCAGAGCCCCACACGCTGCCCTGCAGGACAGAGCTGCGGCAGGGCAGCAGAACATGTTAGAGATAAACAGAATAAACAACCTTGAAACCAGCACAGACGAATTATGGCTTCTGCTTTGGCAGCAGGGCAGAAAGACAGGGACTTTCTACAATCTCAGAATCATCAATACGTCAGATTTCAACATCCACCATCCCCAAAGGCAGTGGGGTTGTTGAATACAGTCATCAGCAGGTCCCCAGTTTTTGTGTGCAGTTCTCAGAATCTTCTCCAGCTGGTCCTGCAGCCAGCCTGGGTCAGCTCTGCTTCAATTCGGGGTGTGAAATCACCCTGAGCTTGTTTGATCCTTCAGAGTTGGACTCAGTCCTTGTGTGTCCCCCTACAGCTCAGAATATTCTGTGATTTAAGGGTGTTTTCTAATTCAACAAAGTGTGTATTCAAGATTAAACCTGCATGGGAGATGTAACACAAGTTCTCCAATAAAATCACAATGGGACTCAGGAAATGACAGTTCTTCATACAATGAACCATTTCCTGTCTTTTATTTCAGTAGGTCTTTCACAAAACACTTTATTTCCGTGTCCATACAAACAAGTCTACACAAGATAAAGTCAAACTGAGGGAAGAAACTTGTGGGATTTATTTTGGGAGCATTTGCAAATGCCATTTTTTTTCCACCAACAGCTGCTGAATCAAAATTTAAACTAATGTTTTCTCCAATAATTCACCACCCACTTGCCTGACTTTAAAAAAAAAAATGCCACAGGAGATAAGTTCCAGGTAAGAGTTCAGGCTTGTTCTTGTTTTATCTTTTTTGGGCTCACCCATCCTTAATCACAGTCTGTGGCAAACACTGAACCATCGGCTGAGTCAGAAACAAATGATAACATGAAAGAACAGGGAAAATGTATTTTAATCAAAAAATTAGCTCCAGGTTGTGATCTCTGATGAGCAGGACCAGCACTGGATTCTGTGCCCTGCGGTACCCTTTTTCATTAGATTAATGTGAATAGAAATTGATTTTTTTTTTTAATGAAAGGAACAGGGAGAAATGAAATGAACACTGAGCTGAATATGCTGGAGTTTGTTGTTGTGGTTTTATGGGATTGCAAGTCACTCTTAGCGATGAAATTCAAAGATCTATGGAAAGTCATAAATTACAAACAAATCTAGGAAGAGCTTGATATTTATGAAAGCCTAAAAGAGGCTAAAATTATTTGTTTGGGAAAATGTTAGTGAAATGCAAAAAACCTCCTCATTATAAACTTGGGAAAAAATTGTTACAACACAGGTAATTAGATTTAGTTCCAATTTAATACCTGTGCTGGTTCACCCAGCCCTAGGAATAATCTGCTGTGTAGCAGCATGGTTGAGAGTGAAAGCTGCCCTGAATGTGAATTACCAGCACCCTTGGTGGAGCCTGAGAATCTTTTGCCATGCCCAGGATGCAGCCAGTTTCAGGAGCACACAGATGGGGATGCAGTGAGACACTGCAATGCAACATCTGAAACATAAATGACAAGATTTGAACAATTTTAGGACCATTCAGTGCTTCTAGCTGGAAAGAAATGTATTTATCAGAGAAAACTCATGTTGGAATAGAATCACACATTCACAGAATATCCTGAGGGGGAAGGGACCCGCTCCCTTCTTAAGATTGATATTTTAGGTGAATTTCTTTGACCCTTTTTCACTGAGTATCCTTTCCCTAATTTTTCTGTCTTTCCAGACCATATTTACAAGGTTTCCCTGGCACAGAACCAAGATCTAAATGCTTTTGTCTTTCCACCTGCATTGCCTTCATTCCTTTACAGCTGTAGCCAAATACAGCTCTGTTATTTGTGGTTCATATTGAGCAATATTCCAGCAATCCTGCTAAAACTCTGGCTCTTGGATTACCACTTTATCTGTTACTTTTCTGTTGGTTTCCCAGGAATTTGTAGAAAAACATTTGCTGCTTATTCTTTGACAATTGTTTGCAAACAAACTGATTTTTATGGGAGCATTTCCTTACAATCACTCAACACAATTAAACAGGACAATTCAGGTTACTTCTCCAGAAAACATCTCAATTATTGCTTTAAATATCTGTTTACAATAATTCATGTTATTTCTACACTAAAGTTCCCCCTTTCCTGATGTGATGGCTCAAAAGTCTTCTAAACACTGCAGAGTTTTGGCCACTTTTCCAGTGAAAACACTCATTTATATAATTATAATTTATATAACTATATATTGAAAAGGTTTTCCCAAATACTGTGAGTAGTGCTCAGACTACCATGCTGAAAACAACATTAATTTGGGAAGGGATTGATCCTGACAATTGCAGCCCATGTTAAAAGGTGCCCATGGGTTTGGGATCAGAGAATGCAGAAGCTCATTCTTAACCCTGGGGAAGTCTGAGCTAAATAAAATGCAGAGGCTGAAGGTGCAAGTTTACAACTGCTGCAGAAGTAAAAACAAATAAAGGCAAGGCCCCATAATATTCACGGATATATTAACTATCACACCAAACACTAAAGAACACAAAGAAAAAATACTTGACAATTTTGAAATTTTTAAGAGATTATCTCCAAAAAGGAGAAGGAAAT